ACCTCCAGGCACCAAGGAGCAGCCCCTCCCAGCTCTTGCTGGTTCAGCGAAGCCCCAAATGCCCTCAGCCAGGACTCAGGTGGGGATTGAGACTACAGGAGACAGCAGCCCCCCAGAGCCAATGTTGCCTTCTAGGGCCCCTCCAGGGTTTAAGGGCTCGTACTCCAGCCCAGAGAACCCAGGGCAGATGTCTACTTCAGCGGAGGGAGGAGGCTGGGACTTGAGAAAAGGTCCCCTCCTCTCTGGAGGTGGGGGTTAGCCCCGGGCCCGCAGCTTCCTCTCCCTGCAGTACTCTGACCATAACCCTGCCACCGCCCAGCATTCCCACCCCAGCGCAGCCCCCTCCTACGGATCTCCCAGTCTCCTCTCATCGCACCATCCCCCCCCCCAAGCTTCCCCTCCTCTTCCTCAGGCCCCCCTGCTCTCCACCAGCACAGACCCATCTCTGCCTCAACACCTCGGCACCATCCCCTCTGCTCCTTCCCAATAACCTCTCCTTGGCTCCCATCCCCCAGTAAAGCCTGGTCCTCAGGGGTGCCCCTTAGTGGGAAGCCCTTGGCCTGGCCCCAGTTCCTTGCCTCTCCACTACTCTCTTTCCCCTCTCCAGCCCCCTGGCCTCCTCCCACGTAGCCCAGCTCCTGGCTGGTTTCTCCCCTGCAGACCCTTCCGAGCACAACAGCTCCCCAGCCCCTCTGGCCGAGCGGCTTCCAGACCTGGGGGCTAGCACAGACTGGGGACCCCCCTCTTCAGAGCCTCCCTCACAGCCCTGCCTCCTCGCCCCATTCCTCCCCCACCTCTGTTCACCCTTGCTCAGGGCCAGTGCCCCTTCCACAGGGAGGCTCCGACCCCCAGCCTCCAGTCGCCTAGCCTCCTCTGTCACCCAGCCAGCCTCGAAGCGGCAGCGCCCCCGCCCCCCAATCTATCTATCCTTCCAGCCTCCCCCGCCCCTCCGATCGCTTCCCTCCGCGGATCGGCTCCCGCCCCCCGCCCATCTCCGCCGCAGCACCCCCCCCCCTCCTTTGCCCCCCGTACCTGGTCTGGGGGCTCCAGGAACTGAAGGGTGGGGATCAGAACCCCGGAGCCGCCCCGTCTCTGGCGGGTGACACAACCGGGGCCAGCGGCGTCGGCTGCCTCTCGCCTCTCGCTCCCCGCCGCGTCCCCGCCCGGCCCGCCGCGGTGCCGCTCGGAGGATGCTCCGCGAGTCAGGGCGGCTGCTCCCGCCGCCGCATCCCTGCAACACCGACTGACGGCAGCATCAGCACCAGGGCCCGCCCCCCGGGCGCGCGCATTGGACCAGGCTGCGCTAATGGACGAGCGGCGCAGCCAATGCAAAGGCGCAGAAGCCGCCAGTCCGGCGGCTCCACAGGCCCACTCCCCTCCCGCGCGCAGGACCCAGGCATCCCGGCCCCGGGGCATCCGAGCTCTTACCAGCCGCTCGCGCTCCGTGGCCCTGGGGCCCGGGCCCGCAACTGGCAGACGCTCAACCCAGCCCCAGTGCCTTTTCTGGAAACCCAGGTGCCCTACCCTCCCGCCCAGAGGGTCGGGTCCTCGGGTCCCGCATTCCCTGCCGGCGGGCCCATCGGGCAGCGCCCAGGGGCGGGACGAGCGGAACCGGTGTGGGACTCGGGCCCCCACTTGGGGCACCAAGAGAGCGGAACCGGTGTGGGACCCGGGCCGCGGCGCCCTCTGCTGGCTATGCCCAGGGGCGGGCCCGTACCAACCAGGAGCCTAGGGAAGGGGGACCCTGCCTGCGGCTACGGGGGCGTTTTCCAGCCTCTTGCCTGGCCTCCACCTCCCACCGCCGAGGGCCCCCAGGCTGCCCTGGAACTGAGGAGGCAGTGTCTCTGCTGGGATAAGGACAGAGGCGGTGAGAGTGGGAAAGGCCGAGCGGGGGCGGGGTAGACCTAGGGGCTTGGGGTTTCCCAGCCCTGCCTCATGGGAATCCCAGAGTTTGCAGCCTGATCCCCAGTCCTGCCTGCCACGCTGGGCTCGGGTAAGAGGGGGTTTAAGGGCAGGGACGCGACTGCCCATTGCCCTGCAGGGAAACTGACAGCCGCCCCGTTTTCTGTTCTCCCAACCATGAGCCTCAGAGTGAGGGTGGTGCTGGGATGAAGTTCTCCCCTGTGAGGGCATCGCATCTCTATGCATGTGTGTGTTAGTATGTGTGTGTTAGTGTGTGTGTGTTAGTGTGTGTGTTAGTATGGGAGGAATGGGACACCCCTTCGCTCACTCAGCCAATGAAAGGGGGACCTAGCACCTTTTGTGTACCACAAAGTTGGACAGTGGGTTTTTGAATGAAGCAGTGTGTGTGTACCCCATGGTGCGTGCGCACACACATGCGCGTGTACCAGACCATTCTGCCAGGTCCCTCCAGGATCCTGATTTCTGTTGCAGGGTCTGTGATCTGCACAGCCAGTGGTAGTTGGTGCTTCCTTACCCAGAGGAACATGGAAAAAACACTCACATTCAACCACTAATGCATGCATGGGCATGCAGCACACACACACAGCCATGCACACCTACCCATGTGCACACAGCCGCTCCCAAACAGCACAAGGGACAGCTGCAGAAATGCCCCACAGGGCAGGACGCCCACAGGACGCACGTGCTGCTAAAGAACACACACAAACATGTGCACACCGGTGCCTGCACACTCAGGCATGTACATGGCCCAGGGAACAGGTGCACACAGAGGGCCTGCCATGGGTCATCCTCCCCCTGAGGTACTTGGCACAGAGGGGTCAATTATTGAGTAGATGAGTGGGGACACCCACCCACCAGGGGTCTCCTCCCCAGCCTGTAATGGGGTAACAGGGGGGTAACCCAGGCTGCAGGGGTTGTTTCGTAGGGGTCAGGACAAGAGATCCCTGAGCCAGATCCCAGACCCAGGGCCCATCCTGACCTTGGAGAGACCCTCAGGCTGGCCCCACCAAGGCCACTAAAGGAGCCAGAGAACGGGAAGTGCTGAGTCAGGGCCTGTGGATGTGAAATGCCTGACCCCACAGCCCACTGCCCCACCCATCCCCCTGACTCCCTCCTCCTCCTGCAGTACACGCAACACACACACACACACACACACACACACACACACACTCACACACACACACACACACTCACACGCAGATTCATCCAGGCACGCACCGTGGCATACATGGACAGACAGACAGGTGCAGTGATTCACAGAATGTCGCTCAGACTCTTAGAGATGGTGTGGGAAGGGGTGTCAGGAGGACAGGGCCAGGAAAGAACGTAAGAGTGAGCACCTGTCTCCTGTCCCCCTCCCCAGCTCCCTGGGCCACCTTTGCCTGTCAAGGGCAGGAAAGGTCACCTGGCAGCTGCTGCACCTCCCTGCCCCTGCCCCCAGTTACAAGGACGTCTCCCCCAAGGCCCAGGGTTCAGACTACCTAATGCAGTTGGGACCCACCACCTCAAGACACCCTCCCCAATTGGCCCCCACCCAATGTGGCCCTTCTCTGGCGCGAAGTCCGGGGGGACACAAGGTGAAGGGGAAATGCAGCAAACGCAGCGTGCGTGTCTGTGCACACACATGCACACACGCAATGTGAAGCACATACACCGGATTCACACATACAACCATGAACAGACAGTCCCACGGCACATTCCCATTCCCGGGCGGGTCGGCCCTGGGCACATTTATGCACACACACACACACACACTGGGAAGAGGCCAGGCTGGGGCTGGGGGCGGTGGGGAGGGGAGGCCACAGGCTGCAGGGATGGAGGCAGCACGGGAGGCGGGCAGCTCTGGAGAGAGCTGCTCTTCACAACACAATCACCGTCTGTTGTTATAGCAACTCAGCCCCCAAATCGTGAAACGGATATTACAGCCTCAGAGGGGGAAGGGCGGGAGGGGGCTGAGGATGGAAGGAGGGACAGAGCGGGGGACTCAATGGAGGACAAGGCTTGGGGGCCCACATGGGGCTGAAAAGTAACAGGGTGGGAGAAGGAGACCCCACTGAGGAGTAGGCCAGGGGAAGTGGGTCTCAAAGGGGAAGACGGGCATGGGGTCAGGGAATCCCGGGGAGGGGGCTGAGGCCACCGCCAGGTCCACAGACATTGAGCTTTGCAGGTGGGAGTCAGGTGCTTAGGCCTCCACCCCCAGGACTCCCCACAGCCGCTGTAGGGCACACCCAGCTTGGGGGGGTTGGAAAGTAGCACCCACTCCCAGGGCTGCTGTCTGGACAATCCTGACCCCAGGGGCAGCCTGGCCCAGTTTCAAACCCTTTAGAAGACCCCCATTCACCCTCCTGACCTAGACCAGCCTTAGAACTGGCCTTGGCCTTCCTCGGGTAGCACTGACCCCCCAAAACCTCTGTGCTGCAACCTCAGGAGGGAGGAGCTGGGTTGGGAGAGGCCACAGGCGGCTGAGAGCAGGATCAATATGCATTTCCTCTGGAAGTCACCGTCCTTCCGGCTGGCAGCAGCACCAGGCCTGCAGGCTGCAAGCCCAAGTGCAGCCCTCCCTGCCCCCAGGCAGGAAAGCTGCCCAGCCCCCCACCGCCCCCCCTAGCTGGCACTCAGGGCAGCCCTTCCCCTCCCAGGATTCTCTGCAGTGAACTCCCCATGGCTGGAAGAATTCAAACAGGAGCTGAAAGGCCGCCTGTCAAGCAAGGGAATTTGGACTGTAGGCTGAAGGCTATGGTCACCCCGAACCACTGGCCCAGCCAGTCTGGGTGCAAAGAAGTGCTAGTTTCAAGTTTTAGGCTCCCGAGATTCTGGACTCCTCGAGATTTCAGAGCCTCTCCAAGATGCTTACGTTCCAAGGTTTTCTGGTCCTAAGGTTCTGCCCCGCAGGATTCTAGTCCCCCCAAGATTCCAGACACATGAGACCTCAGATCTCCCAAGATTCTCTGGCTACAGAGTGGCCACTCCCACATTCTAGTCCCGCCCCCCTCCAGGAGTCCTGGCTCTGATGGTCTAGGTTCATGACATGGGCCTTTTTATTCCTGGAAAATACAAATATTCACAAGAGTCTATACAACCTTAGGGACGCCAGCCCCGGCCCTGCCCTCAGCCACATGCCACCCTCATGCCCCACCCCCCAGCCCCAGCCTGCTGCCCCAGCACCCGGCTCCCTGCTCTGCTCCAGGTCTTTGCTCCAAGACAGACATGAGTGCTGGATCCAGTCACAGCTGGGAAGAGAAAAACAGGGGTGGTGAGGAAGAACCTTCCCCCAAAAGTAGGGGTCCCCCTGGCCCAGGCCATTCGGACAGAGCGCCCTTTCCCTGGCCCCACCCCCCACCCCCGGTCCCCAGTGTGGAGGCTCTGGCCAAAGCTGTGGGAGGACTCACCATCATTACAAGTGGATGTCAAACACTCCGTCCTCCACCGTCTGCACCTCCTCTTCTCGGATCTCTGCAGGGGGGTGGAGGGTGGAGTGTTCATCACAGGATCTACTCCTGGGTCCCAGTGCCTTCAGCAGCCATTCCCCCACTCACAGGAGGCACCCAGCCCCATCCCGGAAGCAGGCCCATCCACCAAAAACCAATTCACTGAATGACCAAACGGCCCAATTTTTGAGGCTCTTCTAAGTTTTCACTTCGCCGCACTTTTTCGCAGCCGCAGATCTGTCAGTGCAGTTTGCTTAAATGCCAATTTTGTGTGTTGCACATTCTAGACACCAGCACTTCTGGAGGGTTCCGTGCAAATGGTTTTATCTTTTCTATGTTTGAGGACTTATGCCGATCCGAAAGGTGGTGGTCAACAGCCTTAGACCCCAGTTTAACACAGTTGTTCAGACTGCTCTCGGCAAAATAATCCTTTGAGGAATTATCATTCAGCAAACTGACCTAAAGCCACCAGAGACCGCCCCCCTTCCCCCGAGAGCTGCAGGTGATTTTCGGGGTATGGGGCTTTGAATTCTCAAAATGTGTCCCGAGCAGCCAAACAAGAAAATGCAGGTAAATGGCTCACATAACTCCCTCTCCCACCCATTGTCAATCCCTCTAACAAAATAAGAGTGTGACTGGAATCTTGAAGCCTCTTTCACTTTTACTCTTCCTTATATATTAAAGTCTCTCTCCTCTTCAGCCTCAGAGGGTCAAGGGTTCCTTGGCTCCCTTCTGGCACCCTTACCAGTCCAACCTTCTGCATCACCCTACCAAAATAAGAGAATTATACAAACTCTGAAATGGTTTCCATCCTGGGTGAATTAAGACTTGGCCACAATGGCCCTGCCTTCCTCCCTCCACTGGCCCGAGACTGCGTCTTACCTGGAGGCCGGGATCCGCGCCGGCCCGGGCGGGGCAGGGAGAAGCTGAAGGTGCGATGGTGGGTGTGTGTGGGGGAGGGGGAGGATGCACACCCCTCCAGACTCATGCTCTGGGCCCGGCGCCGGCACTCCACTGACAGGCGATCCTTGCACTGCTTGTGGCAGTTCACACCACAGGCTGGAGGAGGCAGATGGGGAGCCCAGCCGGGGCCGTTGGTCAGAACACCCTCCCTCCCATCCTCTAGGCCTGCACCTTTCCCCAGGTTCCTTTGCTCCTGAGCAGCTGCCCCACCAAAACAAAAGTCTCCTTCCAACGCGCTCTCTTAACCCTACTTGCCATTCTCTGCCCTCTCCCAAAACCCTTCACATATAATCATCACCTCCCTGGCTCCAAGGGACTTCACTCCGTTGCCGTTGCCCCACCAAAATAAGAGTCCCCAGGCAGAGAGTAACTCTTCCCCAAAAAAAGCAGCCCAGTAGCCCCGCCATGCCATCTCACCTCGGCATTTGAGGCCCTGCTTGTAGATGCCCAGGATCTGAAACAGAGGAGAAGGGCCGTGCTGGGGGGAGGTATTTGGTGATGACGCTACTTCTTCCTTCTCAAGGGCAGGGCCTGGGCCTGAGCCTCCCTGGGCCCTTAAGGGTTAGATGCAGAATAGCAAGAGGAGAGGCAGGGGACGTGAAGGAGGCTGGCTGGCCTGGGCTGAGAGCTGAGAGGGCTCTGGCAGGGGCGGGGCCAGAAGGGAGAACAGGGCGGGGCGTGGGCGGGGCTGGCGGGTGTGGCGTGGGCGGGGGCTCACCAGGGCCTTGCAGTGGCGGCAGGCGACGGGGCGCAAGGAGTTGGTCTCCTGGAAGTTGTGCACGAAGCCCATGCGGCCGCCCAGCACGGAGCTGGAGCGGAGGAAGTAGGAGATCATCTCCTCCCGGCTGATGCAGCCATCCCTGCCGGGGGAGGGAGCGCCTCCGTTGGAGCCCGCCCCCGACCACCCACCCACTGGGAAGAGCCCTCCCAAGCACAAGGTCCTCCCCGCACTCCTGGTTTGGAGCCCTGGTGCAGGGAAGAGAAAGAACACGGGGCTGGCGCCAGGCAGTTGTAGCGGCTGCTACTAACCAGCTGTGTGGTCTCGGGCCTGTCACTTCTGGGTTCCCCCCGAGAAAGCGGGGATTGTCGTCCCGCCCTGCCCACTGCACAGAGCCGGTGTGCAAACGCGGAGGGCTGTGCTCTCTCCCCGGGCATCAGCCCCTGCTTCCACCCTGAGCTCTGACAAGCACCAGCTCAGGGCCCCGAGGATTAAAGAGGTCTCTGGGGCCCTAACTGGTTTGGCTCAGTGGATAGAGCGTCGGCCTGCGGACTCAAGGGTCCCAGGTTTGATTCCGGTCAAGGGCATGTACCTTGGCTGGGCACAGCCCCAGTGGGGAGTGTGCAGGAGGCAGCTGATTGATGTTTCTCGCTCATCGATGTCTCATCCCTCTCCCTTCCTCTCTGTAAAAAAATCAATAAAGTATTTTTTTTAAAAAAAGAGGTCTCTGGGGAGTTCTGGGGCCAGGAGCTCCCATAACCCTGCGGGAAAGACCCCTGTGGCCAGTGCTCCCCTTCTCCAGGGCTGCCCGCAGAATGCCTTTCTCAGCAATTAGGAAAGAGTGAGCATGCGCTCTGCAGATCCACAGACCTCCACTCACATCTGGCTCCACTACTTCCTGGCTATGCGACCTCCAGCCGGTTAGAGCTCTCTGTGCCTCAGTTTCCTCTTCTCTAAATGAGGATAATGATCGGCCCTGCACCTCAGGGGGCGGGGGGGGGGGGGGGTGAGGATTGAGATCGCGCACATGAAGCATTTAGGAGAGTGTCTGGTAGTCACTGGGCCCCGGGCTACCCGGAGCTGTTTCTGCTGATGGCTGGTCCTTGCTGCAAACCTCCACCCATGGGATCTGAGCTCCATGGTGGGGTCCGGGTGGTCCTTCAAGTTCAGGGGCATTGGAACAACTGGCCGGTTAGGGAAAAGCAGACGCCTGGATTCCTGCCTCATGCTGTGCATGGAAACAAAATTCCCACCGAACTGAGAGCGCTAATGTAAAAGAATAAAAACTATCGAAGAACCTGAAAAGGTTTAAGAGAATCATTTTGTAATCTTGAGGGGGTGAGGGCCTTTCTACACACAACACAAATCTAAGAAGCTACAAAGAAAAAGACTGACATACTGAACACACAAAATTTTTAAAGAATTTTATACGGGAAAAGACAACACAAATGACAGACTGGAGGAAAATAGTTGCAAACACATTCGACAGCAAAGGGTTAATATCCATTAACAGAGATTCAAAAAATCAATGAGCAAAAAGACCAACAAACCCAGTGGAATAATGGACAAAGACTATGAACAGGCAATTAACAGAAGAAATATAAGTGGCCAATAAACATATGAAAAGACATCCTACCCCCACTAGTATTGAAGAAACACGGATTTAACCAAGACACCCTTTGCCAATTAAACTGGCAAAACTGTAGAGCTTTTTATAGATTCCGCTGTTGGCAGGGAAGCTGGGAAATGGGCACCCGTTCGCTGCTGCCGAGGGCGCAAGCTGGCACCACCCTGCCTGAGGTCACTTTGGCAGTCTCTCCTCCTAATTTAGAATGTGCATATCTTTTGATTCAATTATCCCACTTCTAGGAATTTCTCCTACAGAAACAGTGGCCTGAGTGCATGGCCGCAAAGATGCCCACAGCAGCCCCGCCTATATTAGTAGCGGACACTGGGCACAACCTACACATCCATCTGCGGAAGAATGGCGAGGTAAGGGATTACTCTGACGCTGCTCTAAAGAATGACATGGTCCTGCATGAATCGGCATGAAGACATGTCCACGATAAAGGTTTAAGTGGAAAACAAAAGCAAAAAAAAAAAAAGCATGACATGCAGTTCTGCCAAGATAGTGACTAAAAAAAAAACACCTGAAAACCTTTCTGCTACAAACATCTAGGTGCTGGTGAAATATAAAAAATAGCTTTAGCCGTGACCGGTTTGGCTCAGTGGATAGAGCATCGGCCTGCTAACTGAGGGGTCCCGGGTTCGATTCCGGTCAAGGGCATGTGCCTTGGTTGCGGGCACATCCCCAGTGGGAGGTGTGCGGGAGGCAGCTGACCGGTGTTTCTCTCTCATCGATGTTTCTGGCTCTCTATCCCTCTCCCTTCCTCTCTGTAAAAAATCAATAAAATATATTTTTAAAAAAATAGCTTTAAATGCATAGTGAGTTTGAAAGAAAAAAAATGGAAACCCCCAAGTTCCAGAACCAAAGAGGGAGCGTCAAGCTGAGGCAGTGAGTTGGGACCTGACACTGGGTTGCTGGTCTCCCTCCTGGCCAGCCAGGTGCTGGTTTTATGGCGATTGCTGTTGCTGCTGTTGGTGGTGGTGGTGGCGGTGGTGGTGGTGGTGGTGGTGGTGGTGATGGGGGGTGTGTGTGTGTGTGTGTGTGTGTGTGTGTGTGTGTGTTTAAATATATTTGTATTGATTTGAGAGAGAGAGGGAGGGAGAGGGAGAGAAACATCAATCAGCTGCCTCCTGCACGCCCCCTACTGGGAATCTAGCTGGCAACCAGCCGGGGTCAGGTGCTGGGTTTTGATACCCAACCAGGGGAGGCCCAAGGCCGGGTGCTTGCAGGTGGTGAGGAGCTAAGGCTGAGACTCCAGCTTGAAGCTGGGCCTCAAAGGTCTCTGAGGGCTGCATCCTCACTGAAAGTGTGGCCTGAACCTCCCCTCTTCCCCCCTCCCCCGCCCAGGGAGATAACATGGAACTCTGTCTCAACTCTGGGTGGAGAAACAAAACAGTTACAACAAACACCATGGGCAGAGCTGGATTTATGCTATAATTCTGTTTGTCCATGACACAAACACAGGCAAACAAAATCTGTCAATTTGCACATGCATGAAAGAAAAGAAAAAAAGACTGGAAGGATACGCATATTGCCAAACCAGGAACCCTGTCAAGGGGCTTACTAGGAAGTTATGATAATAACCTCTTCAGCTAGGAAAGGAGGAAGGCAACTTTTCACTTCTTACTTTATACACTTTGTTTATTACAAATCTATTTTACCACCTGTTTTTTTTAAACCAGGGATTTTTGCATTATGGAAAAAAAAAACAGGTTTTTAAATACAGATAAACATTTAACATTTAAAAAGATCTTGACCTGTAAATTTTGATTGGAATTTTATCTGTTCAGCAAAACAGATATGATTATGGTTGCAGGGGGCACATTTAACCTACCTCAGACAACCAGCTGTTTGTCCAAATTGTCAGCTTGTGAATTGTTGATAAGCAAGTGGGTGCTAATTACAGGCCTTTCTTATCTATTCATTAAAACAGGCTATCCAGGGATTCCACTTGCCCACACTGTGCACCAGCTGGGAGCCCCGCAAATGGAACGGCATTGGTGAAGAAGCAGTGCCCAGGCCACCGTCTTTGTAAGAAGCCGGTGGAGCCCCCATCTGTCGGAATGGGTGAGCCACAGGCCTGGCTGCTTTCAGGCACCCTGTGACCCCGCGTGAGAGTTCCTTCCCACAGGGGCAGCTTTCTCTGCCGAGAGCGTCTGGTCCAATGGCCTGACCATGCACAGAAGGAAACTGAACCCCAAGGGGAAGTGAGCTTGCCTTCCCCCTCCCCGGCCCCCAGCCCTCCTCACTGGTTCTGGTCGAGGTCCCCAAAGGCGCTGAGGTAAGGGAAGTTCCCACGGATGATCTGGAACTCTTCCTGAGAGATGTGGCCATCCCCGTCGACGTCAAAGTTCCGGAACACAGACTTGGGGACACAGAGGGACGCAGAGGACAAGAGAAAAAAGCACCATCAGCTCATCCTGCCTGCGCTCTCAGTCCGTGTGAAAGGGTGTCCAGATGTGGGCAGCTGTCCATCTCCCCCCCCCCACCTCCCTCTGCCATAGCCCATGCCTTCTGGAGAGCGAGTGCTGGCCCTTGAACTTGGCAAAACCAGCGTCCTAAGGCTTCAGAGCCTGGCTCAGAGTCTCACCTCCACCATCTTCTCGATGTGCTCCACCACGAGCGCCTGGTCCAGCTTGGGTTTGGCCGCTGAGGTCCATTCCTCCAGCACAGGGGCCTGGGGCGGCGGGGTGCAGCTGGTGGGGCTGGTTGGCTGTGGGAATGGTCAGGCCTGAGCGAGAGCCAGAGGTGGGGGAGCCCAGAGCCCAGGGGAGCGGAGAGGAGAAGCCAGGGGTAAGGGAGCCTGCACAACAGGCAGGACGGGTGCAGCAGCGGCTAAGTTTGAGCCTGCCCTAGGACCACCCACACCCACCTAACCCCTCCCAATGGGAAAACTCCCCACCAAATAAAGGCCCTCACATCCTGGGCTTGGGGCCAGGTGGGGGGGGGGGGGCGGTGGCTGGGGGTAGGAGTGGAGAAGGAGAACCCCCTTCTCACCGAGGACTTGCAGCGCGGCTCCCGCTGCAGGGACAGCTGGTAGAGCTCGTCCTCCGTCTGGTACTGATCCAGCGACACCTGCGACACAGGTCTGTCAGCCACAGGCCTGGCTGCTCTCAGGAGCCCACTGCCTGGAGCCCAGGTCACAGGTCCAGCAGAGACTGCAGCTCAGCCCGAGCCCAGGCCAGAAGACAGGCTCAGGACAAGGCCAGCTGAGAGCACACCCCAGCAGCCACATGCCAGCCCAGCACACAGACCACAGGCCAAGCTCCCCCTAAACCTCGAGCAAAGTGCACTGTCAAGGCCTCAGCCAGAAGCCAGGTCAGGTCCTGGCCGGTGTGGCTCAGTTGGTTGGCGCATCATCCTGTACACCAATAGGTCGGGTGCATATGGGAGGCAACTGATAAATGCTTCTCTCGTGTTGATGTTCCTCTTCTCTCTCTCTCTCTCTCTCTCTCTCTCTCTCTCTCTCTCTCTCTCTCTCTCTCCCTCTCTGTTAATAAAATAAAATTTTAAAAAAAGAATCCAGGTCAGAACCCAGCCAAGACCTCAAATTCACCCCAACCTAGAACCGAACCCAGCATTCAGAATCCAATCCAGCTCAGACTTCAGCCCAGAGCCTGGGGGTAGCTAACAATCCCTCTAAACTGAAAAGCTAAGCCCCAGCCCAATGTCTAGAACAGCCGTGGGCAAACTACGGCCCGCGGGCCGGATCCGGCTCGTTTGAAATGAATAAAACTATTGAAATAAAAGACCGTACCCTTTTATGTTATGATGTTTACTTTGAATTTATATTAGTTCACACAAACACTCCATCCATGCTTTTGTTCCGGCCCTCCGGTCCAGTTTAAGAACCCATTGTGGCCCTCGAGTCAAAAAGTTTGCCCACCCCTGGTCTAGAACCTGGCTCAGATCTAGATTAGAACCCAGCTCCCACCCTAGACCTCAAAACCGGGTCCAAGGTCAAGCCCAGAACTGCTGGTAACTCAACCCAGGACCCTCACGCCAACCTTGAGACCAGACCTCAGTCCACAGTCCTGCCTGGAGCCTGGAGCCTGGAGCCTGGAGCCTGGAGCCTGGAGCCCATCTCAGAATTCACTCCAAGCTCAGAGCCCAGGCTGGATCTCAGTCCCTTGCTCCAAACCAAGAGCCCCCGGCCAGGCCTGCAGCCATGTGGGAACCCAGGACCCGCCACGGTTGTCAGCCTGGTGCCTGCCCTCACCGTGAGCAGGCTCAGCAGGTCAGGGTTGGCCTGCACTGGTGGCTGGAGGCTGGTCACCATGGCCAGCTCCTCCAAGATGCTGAACAGCTGCTTCATCTTGGCCCCGTTAAGTCGGGTCCGGGCAGGGTCCAGCCAGTCAGGCAGTGCCAGCTGCAGGGCCACCAGGTCCTTGAGGTGCACGCCCAGGATGGGGAAGCGGAAGCCCACGCAGGCTGCCAGCCGCCGCCGGTAGTTGCCGTAGTTGCTGGTGGCCGTCACCAGTTCCGTCAGACCTTCCCAGAGCTGGGGGCAAAGGGCGGACGGTCACACACGTACACCCATCACTGGCTCAGCATCACCCCCCACTCAGCCCTAGAAATGTGGGAGAGGATGAGGATCTGAGGCAGGGGTGGGTGAAAAGGCAAAATCCCCCCTCACGGTCCCCCAGCACTGGCTCCCTTCAGCCCTGAGGGTCAGAGTTAACAGGTCATGAGTTCAAGGGAACGCCCACTTCCAAGTACCACAGCTGCACACAGGCCTGGCCTCGGGCCATCAGCGCTTAACAGGAGAAGAGACCGAGGCTGAGAGGGGCAAAGCAGGCAGGGACACTTAGAACGATGCTCTTGGGTGTGTCGTTCTAACGGTCCGAGTGGGGAAAACCCCAAATGTCCCACAGCGGAGTAGATCGCACATCGGAGCGGACTTACAGTAAAACCTTATGTGGGGCCCTACCAGTTTGGCTCAGCGGATAGAGCGGCGGCCTGCGGACTCAAGGGTCCCAGGTTCGGTTCCGGTCAAGGGCACACACCTGGGTTGCGGGCACATCCCCAGTGCGGAGTGTGCAGGAGGCAGCTGATCGATGTTTCTCTCTCATCGATGTTTCTAACTCTCTATCCCTCTCCCTTCCTCTCTGTAAAAAATCAATAAAATATATTTAAAAAAACATTATGCAGTGATGAAAATGAATGAACGCGTGTTCCACATAACAGAATGCAAGAATGAAAGAAGATATAAAGTAACATAAACGACATAATCCCATTTATAGAAAGTTCAAAAACAGGCAACACAAACCCCACGTTGTTTGGGGGTGCAAGCCTGAGTGGTAAAGCCATGAGGAAAAGCAGGGTCATCGTTGCGACAGGCGGGACATTGGTCACTCTGCCGGGGAGGGGGTTATGCTCCAAGGCGCCGGGGGCTTCGGGGGCTGTCGGCGTTCTAGCTCTTGACCTGGGTGGTGTCACTGGGTGTATCCTTTCTCACCTTTCTTTTAACTGTACATGTTTATGTACTTTTCTGTATGTATGTCACCCAATGTGCTAAGCAAGACAAAAGGAGCAGAAAACAGCAGCTTTGGAGCCAGGCAGGCCTGTGAGCCCCGCGCTGCCGCGTTCATTGTGTGACATGGCGAAAGCATTTGATCCCTCCAAGCCTCAGTTTCCCCATCTGTCAAATGAGGGCGGGAGTGCCCAGCCCACTGCTGTGAGTTCCCAGGGGAGCCAGACCTGGGAAGGCAGGCGGAGCCCAGGGCTGGACAAGGCTGCTCCCCTGACCCCCCGGCCCCAGGCACCTTGATGGTCTCGGGGCTAACGTGGCTGTGGGTCTCCTTGAGGCGAGAGATGGAGCTGTGGCTCAGGCCCCCGACCACCGCCATCAGCGTGTTGAAGTTCTGCAGCTGTAGCAGCTTCTGGGGGACAAAGGGGGGGGGGCGGAAGGGGGAGGGGCATCACTGAATGGGTCCAGAATTTGGCCCCGCTTTTCCGGAGAGGAGGCCGCTTTTCCGGAGAGGAGGCCGCGGGGTCCTGGCAGTTGGGGAGCAGGGAGGGAACGGGGGGGGGGGGGCCAGGACCTCTGCCACGTGGACGAAGTGTGTGATGACCAGGGCCCGCTGGGGGGCGGTGGGCTTGCTGAGGATCATGAGCTGGACCCACTGCGAGACACTGTTGAAAAGGGAGATGAATCGCTCCAGCACAGGGTTGTCCACGGTGCAGCCGTGAGTCACAAAACTGTGATAGTCCTGGAACTGGGGGCGGGAGCAGCCTCAGTGCCTGGGGAGCCCCTTCCTTCACCCACAGCCACTCCTCCCCTCCAGGTGCCCTGTGGTGGTTATACTGAAACCAGCCGCCCACCCTGTGACCCCACCTACCCCAAGGATGCTGCCCCTCTGGGACCCCAGCCCCAGCCCCAGCCTGCACCCCACCCCTGACCGAAGGCCCTCGGGCCACACCAGGATCTTGCAGAAGGAGCGGTACTCCAGGTAGGTGAGATGCTCCGCCAGCTCCATGGGCTCCAGGTGGTCAAACAACAGGGACATCTTGCGCTTTTTCTGTCCCACTGGGTTCCGCTGCGTCACCTGCCGCTGCCACTTGTAGGTGGGGCTGGGGGGGCAGGGCAGTGAGCCCTTTGCCGGAGACGCCCCCCCTCATGCAAACACATGCCACTCGGGCCGACTGAGGACCTCCACACTGTCCCCGGTCCCAGAGCTCCTGCAGTCGCCCCTCCTCATGCACTCCACACGCAATCATGGAAGACGTACTCTGTGCCAGGCACTGTGCTAGACACTGGGGGTCAGAGATGAGCAAGACATGTTCCTGCCCCCGAGGAGCTCACAGGCTACTGAGGGAGGCGGACACAGAAACAAACAATCACGAAACAGCGTGGTGTGTGTACAGGTCTTTGCACAAAGTGCCACGGGGAGCAGAGGAGGGAACAACACGTCCCGCCCCGGAAAAGCCTGGGCCCTCCGAGCCCACAGACACTCCACGCCGGAGCTGCATGTGATAACACAGAGATGCAAGGGGAGCGGTACGAGCAGAGCATGGTGATGGGAGAGGATGCAGGGCTGGAGAATGGCGCGTGGACCCGTGTGACTGCAGGATGAGGTGCGTGGGATGCGCGCAGGGCTGTGGAAGGTGAGGCAGATGCCATGAGAGGCCCTAATCCCCAGCCGAGACATTTTGAAGGCGACAGAGAACCACAGAAGGCGTTTAAGCAAGAGAGGGACATGACCCTCACTCATTCAATTTAACAAACATTTATTAAGCACAGACAGTGTAGCGTGCCGAACGCCTGCCCTGCCCCCAGGCTCCCCCCACGCACACGCCCTCGATGTCGATGAGGCTGCTATGCCTGCGGTTCCCTTCTTGGTCCAGCAGAGCCTTCAACTCCTTGATCTGCTCAGCGAGCTCATGGTTCAAGTCAAACTCTGCTGGGAATGCTGAGATCCAGTACCTGGGGAGAGTGGGAGTCACCCAAGGTGGCCCCTCCCCCACCCGCCCCTGGCGTTGTAACTCCCCACAAAAGGGGGAGAGAGCTTCAGACCACGGTTCCCCCTGTCCTGGCTCTGTCCTTCTCCATCCTCTTTGGACAGATGAGAAAACCTAGGCCAGGACCAGAACGGGCAGGCTTGCGGCAGCACGCCCACCTTGGACAGAGCCGGGGGGCAAACCCACATGACCAACTGTGTCAGGCCCAGGCCTGGGGCAGGGGAGGAAGGGGAAGGTGCCCCAGGAGGGAGGACTCACCTAACCAGATGACACGTTTTCACCTGCATGGAGCTGGAGTTGTCCTTCCGGGATTGTTGGTAGGTGACAGAGAGTTAAGGAAAACCAGAGTGCAGCCTACATCTAGAAAGGGAGGCAGGGGACGGGGCCTGGTTCCAGGAGAAATGCTGGGGGAAGGACCTGGAGCAGGGGTGGGGCAGGCCCAGGCCGAGGCTCTGCACAGAGGCTGCAGGAAGGGATGAGCGCTGAGCAGGAGAGGGAGGTGAGAAGGAAGAAGCTAGGTTCTGGGGGCGCTGAGAGCAGGGCCTGGTTTCTGGCAGAGGCAAGAGGCAGACCAAGCTGACAGTAGGGAAGGGTCCCAGACTATAGGGAGTGGGAGGCAAGGCCTAGGTTGGGGAGGCAGTCAGGACTGCCTGGGCCTTAGGGAGGCTGGGCCAAGCCTGAACTCTGGGACGCAGGCGGTCCGCCTCTAGAGTGAAGCCCATCGGGGCCAGTGGCTGGCTAGGGGGCTGGGCTGCGGGGTGAGACCAGGAAGGATATATGTGGAGCAGCTTGGCCGCCAGCTGGGATGAAGGGATGTACCAGGGGTGCATCATGAGGAACATGCGTACCAGCTGCGGGTCCCGCACCTTCCCGGAGTCATCTAGCTCCGAGGGGCAGAGAGGAGCGGGTTGACTCTTTGTCCAGCAGCCCCATCTCTAACCCCTACCCCTCAGCCAGAAGGGTATCTTCTCCCTCCACCCCACCCCAACCCCAATCTCCAGCTTTCCCAGGATTCCCAGAGCTGGAGGCAGGTTAGAAAGAGGAGGTAGGGTGGGAGAGACACAGGCGGGACGAGGAACTGGATGGAGGGGGGAGTGTCTGAGTCGGGCCATCCTCAGGAGGGGAACCAGCTGGGGCGGAAGGAGCCTGGGTTCCCCAGGGTCAAGAATCCAGAGGTCATTTCCTGAGTGCCTGGGGGAAGGGGCACCCCTTCACCAGATAAGCCACCCTCATCAGCCGGAAACAGCTCCCAGGCCGGAGATAGAGAGTTCCTCCGGATTCCCAGGGGGTGGGGGTGGGGGCAGATAATGCACCCCGTGTGTCAAGAGTCTGGGGACCCGCATCCCTGCCTTCAACGCGACATGCTGGGGAAGGGGAACATTTTCTCTCTCTTTCTGAAGCACGGGGACCTCTCCTCGAGGAAGGTGCAGGATGCGGAGCCGAGCGGGTCGGGGCCAGAGCCTGGCCTGGGAGCGGGTCCGGAGTCAGTGTCCCGCCGGGCTCCGGCTGTGCGTCCGCGCCACTCACCGAAGGCTTCGATGCAGCCGCGGAGCAGCTCCTCCACCGTGCAGCCCTTGTCCAGGTCGAGGGTGCCCGCCATGGCCGCCGAGCGGGTAGGCTGGGCCACGAGGCGCTCCGGGAGCCTCCCACGGGGCTCGGACTGGACCCCTGTCCCGGGAGAGGCAGAGTGGGAGTCCGCGGAGGCCGGGCGGGGGAGCGGCCGGTGGGCAGGAACGGGGCGGGGCGGGCACGCCCCCTGCTGGGCAGGGGCGGAGTCGCCGGCCGCGGCCACTCCCGGGTTAAACGGTCTGGCCCGGGATGGTGCAACCCACCAGTTGGGAAACGGGCTGGCCCAGAGACTTCCGGCCCACCCTCGGAGTCGCCAGAGGCCGAGGGACTCCCTGGGGATGGGGACGAACCGGGACTCCGGGGGCTTGTTGGTGCTCCCCCCCACACGCCCTCTGTTCCTCGCGCCCCCTCCCCGGAGGCACCTGCAGCCACCGCAGCCCGGCTCTGCGCCCCCTCGCTCCCCTCCCTCAGCCTCCCTTCCCCCGCAGGGTTATTTTGGGAACCCAGAGCCTGAGGGGACCTCGGAGGAATTTCTTTCTGGGATGGGAGGGGGTAGGAACCCAGGCGTCCGGCCCGCTGGGCCCCCTTCTGGGCTCCCGGGAAGGGGAGGTGGGGCTGCAGCGGGCCCCAGGGGCCTGCCCTTGGGGAGGACAGCGGAGCGGAGAACATTCCTAGGGCGGGGGTGGGGGGAGCCCTGCGGCCGGAGGCGTCAGCGGGAAGCCTGAGCCTGGGAAACGCGCTCCCCAGCCACCTCCTCCGTGGAGGTCCCAGGGGTCCCGGCTCAGCCTTTCCGCGCGCCACCCGCCTCCCCAGCCCCGGCTGCTGACCCGGCTCCATACAGCACAGCTGCGCTGTAAGCGCACACATCTGATGCCCAGGAGGGGGCGCCATTGCCGTGGGGGCTGGAGCGTGCCTGTATGGCACCCCCAGCAACTCCGTACGCACCCATCAGGGACACTCATCCATACCCGAGGCTAGGGACCCACATTGGGGTGCAAGACGCCCCAGCTCACACACACCGGGCCTCAGGCATTCGCCTGCCATCTTCCGTGTCACACACACAATGGCACCCACACCCAGCGCACACCTACGACCCTCTGGCACACATAGCCAGCCCTCTACGCAGAATGCAAACCCACTCATGGGGCTGACTCCTCAGCCACGGCAGCGCTGACATCCGCACACGTGTGCACACACGCCAGACAGTGCACCTACACGCATGTACACTCTTGCACATATGCACACACCCCCGTGGGCGCACACACACGCCCATTCCACCACCACCTCTGCACCTGCGGTCCAGCCAGCCCTGGGGTCAAACGCCCTAACACCCCTCACCACCACCAGCAGCCCCCGCGGGCCACGGGCAGAGCTTTGTGCCAGGAAAAGGCCCCGCGCCCCTAGCATACCCCCTCGGGCTGGGGGCGGGGGCTCCTCCACCGAGTCCCGGGCTGACTTTTCGTAGGACCCGCCCAGAGCCATCCCCTCGGACTCTGCCACTTCCTTGCTGTGTGACCTTGAGAGTCACTTGGCCTCTCGGAGCCTCAATTTTCTCATATGTCAAATGGGGGTGTTCTGGGGGGAGGTCCCACTGAGACCTGGCCGGGAAGGGCCGCGCGCGCCGCCCCCTCCCGGGGGTGGTCCGGGGCGCCTCAGCTCTCCCTCCCGACACCCTCGGCAGCCTCCCCACCCACCAGCCCCCCGCCGCCCCTGGGGCCCTAGCGCCCAGGCCTCCCAGGGGGGCGCCCCGCCCGCGCACGCTCCACTCACTCTTGGGACCCGGGCAAGGAGGACGCACCCGGCCCGGGAGGCGCCACCTCCGTGCGCTCTGCCCGCCAGCCTCGCTGCGGCTGCGGCTCCCGCCCGCTCTCCGCGCCGCTGCCCCGCTCCGCGCCGCCCCGCCCCGCGCGTGGCCGCCCCCTCCCCTCCCCTCCCCTGCCGCCCCGCCCCGCCCCGCCCCGCGCGGGACTCCGCACCGCCGCCGCGCCTCCCCCACCGGGGCGCCCTCTCGCCCGCACGCGGCGGTCCCTGCGGCAGCTTAACCCCTCCCCTGCCGCGCCGCCCGGAGGCGGGGGTCGGGGCGCGGGGCTGCGCCACGCGCTGCGCCGAGGGCGGGAGAGCGGCGGTCAGGCAGAGCCGGGCAGGAGTGGGGGACTGAACCAAGGGCGCTCTCCCCCAACCCGGACGCCCCTGTGCCCCCCGCCCCGCCTGGCGCTGGGCAGAGGAAGCCGGGAGGGGCAGGAAGCGGACTGCGGTGGGGAAGGGGCGCCCCGCCCAGCCCCCGGCCCGGTTCCTGTTTTCGAAACAAACCGTTCCCACGGGGCTCCCCCGACCTGGGGCCGAGCGTCCTCCCGCGGGCAGCGGGGCGCAGGCCCGGTGGAGATGGGGGCACGGGGCACCGGGTCCTGGTGACAGCCCGGGGGAGGGGCTAGAGCAAGATGGGCGCGTTTGGGGAGGAGAGGCCCTGTGGGGAGGGGAGGATGGGAGCGCCGCTACCTGGAGACGAGACCTCGATGTCTGGGGATGTGGGGGGAGCTCCAACTCTCACAGGCGGGACTGGGGCCCCGGAAGCCTGGCTCCCACGGTGCCAGATGGGAAGGGGCAGCGGCGAGTGGATTCTCCGCAGCTTGGAGACGGAGGCCTGGGCAGGGAGGAGCTGGGGAGGGGCAGCCGCAGGCGGTTGGGGTCCCCACCAGCGGGGCCTAGGGGAACCGGTAACCGTTTCCGGACTGTGGGTTCAAACACACTTACTGTGAAACCACCCGCCCCAAAACTGCCTCCCGACGCTGGCCCCTCCCTGACTCAGGGCCAGGGAGTCAGGACCGCCCCACACTTCAACCTGTGAGGCCTGGGAGCAGGCCCTTCCTGCTCCTGTCCCCACAGTGGGGTGGGGGCAAGCGTGGCCCAGCGCGGGCAGTCTGTGAATTCCCCCACGCAAACCTCCCCCGACTGTAGTGCCAGCAGAGCACCGGCTTAGAGACCCTTAAAACGCCGCAGTGGGGCGGGGCTGAGGGCGGAGACAAGACTGCACCGGCCTCCGCGGGTCCCTCCCCTCCCCGATTTCACCCCGACTGCGAGGATCCTCCGCAGTCCCCCATCCTCAGCCCCGGGGGGCCCCACCCAGGCGGGCGCCCCGCCCCGCCCCCGGCCAGCCTGGCAGGCCGCTGACCTAGTATGGACACAGCACTGGGAAGCGGGGCGTGGAGGGTGACGTGGGGAAAGGGGCCGGAGAGTCCCAGGCCCGGCCTCCGTGGGCCGCCCCCTCCTTCCGAGGGGACGCACCTGCGGCGGGTGGGGGAAGCCACGGTGACTGCGCAGCTGCTGCCGTGCCCACCCAGAGCTAAAAATATTTCCCACCAGAGAGAGAAGTAAAGGAGGCTCCCAAGGAGAATCAATTTATTGGGGGGGAAGGAGGGTGTACGATTGGTCAGACCCATAAATAGGAGGGGCAGGAAGCCCGAAGACAGGATGGGAGCAGTGTCCTCAGTCACAATGGACGTGTGACCTCGGGCTGGGAGTCAGTGAGAGTTTCAGGAAGAGGCTGAGAGAACTAACTCCGGTTCCCCACCCTCTGCGGGAGGAGCTGGGGCTGGCCCAAGGGGTTGCAAACAGGCTGAGGTGGGGGTGGGGGTGGGGGTGGGGAAAGCAAGTCTGGGGTCTGGTCCGGAGGCTCAGGCCAGATCATCAGGGGCTGGCAGGGGCTGGCGGGAAGGCTCCACGCCCCAGATCTCCCGGGCGTACTGGGCAATGGTGCGGTCGCTGGAGAACTTGCCGGAGGTGGCGATGTTCCGGATCACCATCCGTGTCCACTCTCTCGGGTTCTACAGGCCAAAAGGGAACTCTGGGTTCACTCTGCTGGTGGGGCCCCCACCTTCCGCCTCACCCCAGCCAGGGCCACCAAAGCCCTGCCAGCCCCTGGCCCAGGACCCCTTACCTTGTACAGGGCGCTGACTTTCTCCTGGCATTTAATATAGTCTTCATAATCTGCAAAGACTTTAAACCTGGAGGGGAATGGCAGGCAGGAAGCTCCCTGAGGTCAAGGCCGAGCCCATCCTGTCCTGGTGGACTCCTGGGGGCCTGGAGAGTGATGCTGCTTCCCAGGGAGCCGCCCCACCTGCCAGGAGCCCTGCCCAGCCCAGCAGCGCCCCCTGCAAGGTCCCCTGGGCCACGGGCTCACCGGTCGTGGTGCATGAGCATGTTGACAATGTCCTTGAACAGGTCAGGCTGCTTGGGGGAGAAGAAGCCACTGCTCAGCTGCTCGATGACCTGGCGCAGCTCAGGGATTCGGTCATAGTATTCCTGGGCGTTGTACCTGCAGGGAGGAGCCGCAGTCAGCGCCCAGGAAAGGGGGTCCTGGCTCTCCCTCCAGAGAAAATCCCAGAAGCCCTAAGGCCCAGGGCCCGCCTGCTCCCACCCTCCCTGCAGCTGCCACCGACTCCTTCCCCGGAGGCCCTCTCCCTTCTGTGCTCAGCTTTTCATCGCCTTTTATGGGGATGAGGAAACCGAGGCCTGGGGAGGGCAGACAGAAGTGTCACACACCACCAGCACCTCCAGCCAGCGTTTCTCCCAGGAATGTCTTCCCCTCTGCTCTCTCCAGTCCAACCCTCGCCTCACCTTCGGGCCCTGGAGGAGCCTCCAGCGTTCGCCTTTCTGAGGCAGCGCAATCCAACTCTCAACCACCGGGATTCAAACGCATCCCCAAGGCCAGGCTCCTCTCTTCCCTCCCCTCCCCTCTTCCAACCAGAAACGAAGGCCACCTCCTCAACAGTGTCCCTACCCCCTGTCCCCAGCACTGGTGCTGCCCGTGACCCTCCCAGCATTAAGGCGTGAGTCCCCACACTGGCCCCCACCTGCACTTTGCTCCCTCCCATCCATTCTCCATCCTGCAGCCAAAACTGTCCTTCTGGAGCCTAGTTCTGCACATATTGCTAGAAATACGTCACGTCTCCCTCCCGGGGATTCGGAACTAAGTCTGAACCTGAAGGATCAGGCTTCCCAGGGAAATTCCTTTCAATACTTAATGCTAGCTTTCCTAGGCTGTTGGTGAGGGTGTAAACTGGTACCAACTTTCTGGAAAACAATTTGGCTCAGAAATATCCCCTTCTAGTAATTATCTTAAGGAAAGGATGGGCGATGTGGCCAGAGATGTAAAAGGTTGGTCATTACAGTGGTATTTATACCAACAGGGAATATCAACTTTAATGTCTAACTATATGGAGTGGTTAAATAAGTTATGACATGTCCATAGGATGGAACACTACACAATCATTTAAAATATTTTTGAAGCCCTAACTGGTTTGGCTCAGTGGATAGAGTGTCGGCCTGCGGACTGAAGGATCCCAGGTTCGATTCCGGTCAAGGGCATGTACCTTGGTTGTGGGCACATCCCCAGTAGGAGATGTGCAGGAGGCAGCTGATCAATGTTTCTCTCTCATTGATGTTTCTAACTCTCTATCCCTCTCCCTTCCTCTCTGTAAAAAAAAAAAAATCAATAAAATATATTTTTAAAAAATATTTTTGAAGACTATTTCATGACATGGAAAATGCCTCTCCACTGTTAAATAAGGCATCAGGATTCAAAATGACATATAAGTTATTCCTAACTTTCAAAAATTACACAAACAAAAGAAAGAAAAATAAAAGAAAAAAACACACACACATATATAAATATACATAGAAAAAGAGAAGTGTGACTTTAAATCTAGGTGATGAAATTATAGAAGACAGTTATTTTGTTTTTTTGTGGTTTTGTATTTTTCCATTATTGCTTTTATAAGAAAAAAGTCATATTTTAAAATAAATTTTAAAAACATAATGCCAGGGAAATGTCTCTTCTAAAGAACTGTGTTTCTGGCCATAAGTACAGTTAACTTTTATACTCTTACTAGAGGCCCGATGCATGAAATTCGTGCAAGAATAGGTATTCCTTCCCCTGGCTGCTGGCACCGGCTTCCCTCTGGCACCCAGGGCCCAGGCTTCCCTCGCAGCCCCGGCTTCATCCTGAAGGTCATCTGGTCTAATTAGCATGTTACACTTTTATTATTATATATTTCCCTTTTTGCCATGGCTACCAGGGAACTAAGAATTTAGTTTACTTCCAATATCAGAAATAATATTCTTAGGATTGATATAATTTTCTCTTCCTTTTCCTTCGGTTCTGTGTTACTACTTTCTTTTCCTGTTTCATTAACCTTTTCTTTGGTAAGTTACCTCAGCAGTTTTCCAGAACTCTGATGGCATAACTACGACCTTGTGCAGCCTGCACTAGCCTGTCCATGCCTCTTGCTCCCAGCCCTACCCTCCAGCAGCCACACCCGGCGCCTCCTGCCCACAGACTCTTAAGTAAGGAGCTCTTGACCCCCATACCCTCTCTGGTCAAGCTTTTCCACGTCCTCCTCCCGCATGCCGAAGATAAAGAAGTTCTCCTCTCCTGCCTCTTCCGCCATCTCCACGTTGGCCCCGTCCATAGTGCCAATGGTCAGAGCCCCATTGAGCATGAACTTCATGTTGCCAGTGCCGGAGGCCTCAGTGCCCGCCGTGGAGATCTGCTCAGAGAGGTCAGCGGCCGGGATCACTGTGGGGCAGCAGAACAGGGTCAGCTCTGGGAAGAGTCCCACCCCAGCGGGGGACTCTCGAGGGAGGCTGGCCTAGGCATAGCCAGGTTCAAAGCCCCTCCCACCCCAGCCCTCCAGTCTTCAACAACCGAGTCTCCTTCTCAGGCGCCAACCTCTGGATGATTCTTGAACATCTGGGGTCTAAGCTGGACTCCCCCCGCCCCGCTCCATGGTGTGACATGACAAACACCAACAAGGCCCATCTCCCCTATAATTTGACCCATGCTGCCGGGGAGCTCAGGGGACATCCTCATGGTTTAATTACTGCCCTCTCCAGATTCGTCTTTAAAGTGCAAGTACCTCAGGAAGAGGTAACTAATACCTCTTCCAGGCACCAAGCTAATCAGAGCCTCCCTCGGGTTCCCGGCGGTGGCACCCCACCTTTCTCGGCCAGCGAGACTCTGTAGTTCTCCAGAAAGATCACGCGGAGCCTGTCTCCCACCACCGGGTCATGGTTGACCACATCCCCAATGGACGTGATGAGTTTGATGATCATCTTGGCCATGTGGTACCCAGGGGCGGCCTGTGGGGGCGCAGTCTGGAGTCAGCTCCGTGGCCGAACCTCCTACCCCCATCCTGCAACACAGTCAAGGCTGACCTCAACCCAGATATCAAAAGACCAGAGCCATGGTCTGTGGCCCAGCTTCTCACCTTCCCTCCAATCATCACCGTTCGAGGCACAACAAACTTATTGGGTTCCTTCTTGATGCCTGTGGAGAAAGAGGGAGGAAGTGGGCCAGGTTTCCCCTCCTAACAGTGCCCATCAGCCAAAGCCCACGCTGGGAGAACGTGGGCCTTGACTTGAGCAATCACTTGCTGTGTGACCTCAGATCAGTCCCTTCCCCCTCTCTGAGCCTCAGTTTGCCCATTTGTAAACTGGGGATAATTCCATGTCCCAAGAGCTGTCCAGAGGCCAAAGGAGATGTTGTCTAGGAAACATGCAGTATGCTGGGAGGTACTGGAGCAGTGGTTCTCAACCTTCTGGCCCTTTAAATACAGTTCCTCATGTTGTGGTGACCCCCAACCATAAAATTATTTTCGTTGCTACTTCATAACTGTCATGTTGCTACTGTTATGAATTGTCATGTAAATATCTGATCTGCAGGATGGTCTTAGGCGGCCCCTGTGAAAGGGTCCTTCAACCGCCAAAGGGGTCGCGACCCACAGGCTGAGAACCGCTGTCCTGGAGGGAGAGCCCGGAGACAGAGCGGGGCCTGCAGCTCACGGTTGTAAAGGGTGATGATGTGGAGGCAATTGAGGAGCTGGCGTTTGTATTCATGAATCCGCTTCACCTGGACGTCGAAGAGTGAGTTGGGGTTGATCCGGACTTTGTATTCGTTCTCGAGATATGCAGAGAACTTCAGCTTGTTTTCCTGGAGGCAGGGGAGGGGGGAGCTCACCGAGGGGCCTCAGCCTTGGGA